ATTAAAACACTTTCGTGACCACAACAGAGAAGGACCACGAGCACGACCAATGACAGGGTGTGTTGAAAAATGTTCAGATTTGGAATGGTCGTAGAGTGTATGAGCAGAGAAAATTCAAATGAAATTCGCTATATTTACATTGAACAGAATGAAAGTGTGGTGAAAGGAACGAATTTAATCTATTGATCAAGTAGTAGTTGTACAGATTTTATTATATTCGTATGGTTGCAGTTCTAAACCGATATTAGAGCTCATCTCCAAAAATATTTTCAATGGAAATTTTGCTAATTTACTGGAAGTTCTCTTTGATTTTAAATCATTTGTTAATTTGTGATTTAAGCAAAGTAATGATATATAGTGGTTCTATAAACAGCCATGTTACTTGTTTTCGCCGTGAGCGTGATTAGATCTTGTCGGAAGCTTCGGATGGAAGTCTGCATGATCAGGATATCTTTTAATAGATCTTAGCGACACAAAGGTTTGAATATCTGATGGTTTGTTTGATGGTTTGTTTGAATACACAAAGGTTTGAATACCGCATGGTCCTGCTAGATTTTGTCAATGAAGAGGGAATTGAAGTTCATACTAAATTCATCAATAATAATAATATCTTTTTAGCGCATTTTCTCATTTATGGAAAAAATGCACTATTGTGCTCGCCATGTCCGTCTGTCCGTCCGTCCGTCCGTGACTTCACGTTTTCGTCGACGAGAAAATGCGCTCTCTGTCACTCACTGCAGTGAGTGCTGAGTTATATATTTTTTTATCACGGTGGAGGAGCGTTTTTTGTACTTCGAAATTTTTTTTTATTTCATCACTCATTCTAAACGCAAATATAGCACAAGTTTCATGTTCTATTAATATGCGGTCAAATTCAGAGCAAGTAATCAGTTTGGTCTCAATTGCAGATAATTGGTGACTCACCATGGCGGAAAATACAAGCGGCGTCTAACTGCTACGTACCGGTAGTGGCTGGTGAGCAACACTGAGCATGCGTCACTGCTGACGTCACACAGAGCGGTCACATGCCGTGTCGTAACAGCCAACGCAACATGTGGTTGTCTGTGTGCGTCAGGATGCTGTAATAACCGGGGTTAGGTTGTTTTGTTCCAGTCGCCCTCTGCAGAACGCACGCACATCGCACCGATGTTACTGCAGTTGCAGCCGTGGTCGAACTAATAGAACCTAACCAAGATTGCACTAGTGTTCCTCTAGAGTCTAGAGCAGGGGTCTCCAAACTTTTCTATGTGCGGGCCACATTATATATTTTCCATATTTATGCAGGCCGAACTAATAAAAAATCATATAACAAAAAAAATTATTTACTCAAATATTAAAGAACAAACATGGAATTTTCCATGTACTTTCTACTTTTCTTTATCTTTTCCATATCTGAAAACTTAGGGGTAAAATAAATTACATAAATTCTACAGGAAAAAACGGCTTGTATGTGGTGTTAAAAAACATAGCATATTATTATAAAGTGGTAAATATTATGGCAACAGCTTTCGTTCATAAACTTAATGGTTACAATTTCAACTATTTTAGACATGCAATATTTTTGGCTACAATATCATTATTGTTATTTTGTATGACTAAGATAAAGGAATTGTCAAAGTACGGAGAAAATAATATTGTACAGTGCTGTGCTCCTTGAAACGGAAGCAGCGAAACCCGGCCTTCATCGCCACAGTATACAGTTAAACACAACTGATTGGTTGTAATGTATAACAGTGACAACACATACCTGCCAGTATTAGTATCTGTACGTTACACTATCGAGAGAGGAATACTGATTCGGGCTCAGTGCCACCAGTTAGCAGGCTCCAGCTTTGAATAATTCTACAATGGCATTCGAACAATAATTATTTATTCATTTCACGATTTTATCCGGCGGGTCGGATGAAATTACTATGTGGCGGGCCGGATGTGGCCTGCGGGCCATAGTTTGGAGACCACTGCTCTAGAGTATATCAGTATGCCTGTATGGTGCAGCCATCTAGATAACATTTATTTTTAGTGTTAGAATCTATACACCACACATTTTTCTCGAAGGCTTCAACAAAACTGCACTCTGAGCAGTGTATTGCATGCATATGTTATAATTGGTAACGTGAACTTGCGTCGAACGCTCTCTGTGAACACGGATCAAATCCAGCGGACAAATTCGTACAATCTTAAAAATTGTATTCAAGTTTGGTGGAAATGAATCACATCAGTAATTAAATATGAGTATTTTTAATTAATTACAGTTTACCCGTAGGATTGAACGGATACGGATACGGCCTTATCTGTATGATGAAAATTATTTTTTTTTATTCTAACGATTGAATTGAAATAGTACGACATTTCATGCGTATCCTATAAGAAAAAAATACTTTATGATTAATGAAAAGTTATATTGAAACTTGATTATTAAATAATTCTCACAAATGTCAACAGTCTGTCCGATGAGAATGAACACGCGTTCGAGTTATTCTCTGAGGCCGTTGAAATTATATCATTTTTCTGTCTTGCTGAACGCATGAGAGGACGCCACCATGTTGTCCACTTACCTACTCAGGCACCGAGCCCGCCAAGAACGTTTGCTGGTCTTGATCACGAGGCGGCGATTCACTCGGTGAAAGTTGCCAGGTTGCTATCGATGTACTCTCGTACGGGCAATAGTCGTAGAGCTTACACTGCGCATCAACTTTACCTAAGCGAACGATTTATTTTTTTTTGTTTTCTAGATTAAATAAAAATATTACGAAGGAGGAAAAACGGAACGGGTAGCTCGCATGACTCAGTTATCGATCGAGAATGTGTTCGCTTGTGGAATGGTATGAAATGGTATGATAGGCACTGCGAAATGGATTTCCTGCACTGCATGGCATCCATAACTTTGCCTCGCTATTAAGAAATGGTGTCGGGTCGAAGATAAAAAATAAGGCTTTACAGCACACAGGTGATGCACGAATTAGAAGTGGAAAGCTCTTGCAAATATTACGCTCCGTTAGATGGCATTCATTTGTAAGCATAGAGAACATATATAACTTCATATTTGCGTAAGTCAAAACTCAATTTTTTCGCAATTAAGTACAACATAACTTAATAGTTCGAATTACCAATTTGATGGCATTCTTTGTAGCGATAAAGAAGAACATTGCTTATTAGATGCTTCTTTTCTTACAATCGAAGTCTGTAACGTGTTTCAATTGCAAGCGCCCGATTGATGGCTTACTTAGATCGCAATCTAGAATTACTCTCTTTTCCTGAATTTTGGTTTCCGCATTAAGCTCGATTTTCACAGCTACAATCAACTATTTATAAACAAATTACTCGAAATGTAGCAACCGGGGCTTGGTTCATGGTAAGATAGGAAAGCGCAGACCATTTCCCGAGCGGTGACTTAGCGTCTCATGAAATGGCATTCATTGAGTTACGATTACGAAATCGTGCGAGCAAACCAGATATTCACTCAACATTATACGTAGAAAACCCAAAATTTATTGCAATAAGTAACGAAATCAGAGGAACACGTCATCATGAAGGAGAAAATTCAACAATGTTTGGCAAATTTATTGAATTATGTTGAACATAATTTTAATTAAATAATTTCAAGCATAGCATCTCAACATAATTGGTGACCAATTGTTATAAAACACGGAAGTAATAAGATTAAATGACTTCAAACAATGTCGCAATGCAAGTTCAATGGCTTTTGTTGCGATCATCGGATTTGAGGAATTTAAGAGCAAACTACGACACGCTGATTAATTGTGTACAAGGAGGGGTTCAAAAGCGGCTTAATTCGGCTATATTCCAAGGTTAGGGGAACTACTGCAGAGTATCAAGGGTAAAAGCCACAATGAATAGACTAACATTTCGTATTATTTAATTCTTTGAATAATAGCTCTGAAAATAATTGTTCGATTGGCGTAAACAGAATTCTTTCGGCATAAAGCTAATAGATTTAAGGAAAGCAATGAGCACAAACAAATAAAAAAATCGTAAATAGCAGCAGTCGTATTCTATGATATGCATGGCGGTTAGAGGCGATCTGTAATATGAACTGTTATAATTTTTCAAATAGCATTCTTTTCGGTTTGGAAGTTAGGAGTGCTAAAATCTTCATTTAAAATTAAATTCACAGATGAACATGGATTAAAACAGAACAAAAATAGAGTTACCTAAGCTCTAAGAATTAAGGATTTGACATTATTCAACTATCTACGAAGAAATAGCTTTGGTAGAGTAAAGGGCTCCATCAAGCATGATCGGGTTATCTTCTGCTACGTTCTTAAAACGAAAGCGTCCTATAAGTGTCATGGAATTATTGCAGCTCTGATCTATTAAAAGAAATGTACAGAAACATACAGGTTTATTTACACGTTTCGTGATAAAATTAACACTGCAACGGCGAGTATGATGACTAAAAACTCTCTTTCCCCTTACGAAAAAATATTCCAACCTTTACTCGAATCAGCGACAGAGGCAAATTCAGTCCAATTGTAACTAAATAGGTAATTGCACACGTTTGCGAAGGCAGAGCCTCGCTTTAAATGACTGAATAATTCAAATGAAACCGAACAAGTGTTTCCAAATTGAGCTCCTAAAAAAATTAGTGTTTTCACATCACCGACGCAGAGGCATACGTCGCATGACTTTTAGAAAGAGGGGGTAAATCACGCCTCAATCTTATATACGAGTTATCTTAAAACATTCACTATTGAAGCGACAAGTTTGTTCCAGAACACTACGTTGATACGGAGGTAAAATGATTAAATCAATGAATTAGATGTCAAGCAAGCAAGTGGGATGAAAAGAACACTTCTTCCCAAACTACACACGCAACATTTTTATCTTCTGTCATGTACTCTCAGTATTGCACATTTACAAAAATCAGCATTTCAGGGTAAAAACTACATATTTATAGGGCTCTTTCAAGAAGAATCCATACGTCCAAATCAGTGTAATAGATACTGAGGTTAATTCATAGATTGTTTCGGTACAGTAAGATACAAGTGAGCAAGGAGAGGTGTGTGTGCTACTGTGGCTTAATAATAACAAATAAATTATTTATATGAATACTAGAGCAGTTTGTGAAGAAATATACAAAAACACGTTTTGAGCACAATTTGTGCCGGTGCTAACTTGGGACTTAGAAAAATAGACGTTGAAGTTGCCAAAGAAAATGATGAGAAAAGCATTCGAGCAGAAACGAAAATAAAATTTTCAGTTCTTTTCAGAGATAGAGCAATTCACGGCAAGCAAATGAAATAAGTTTACAGTATATGAGCTGATTAGAGCGCAACAAGACAATCCACATAATTACTCACAGTGACGTATCATATGACGACCATAGTTCGAACTTCAGGAAGACAGGCGGAAGAGTGGATTTGTTTGGCGCAAATATTTGTGCGGAATCGTCACCAGGTGACCGTAGAGTATACAAAATAATAATTCTTAATTTAATGATTGAGTCGCTTAAACGAAAATAATAAGTCACCCCCCAGAGGAGTAAATACCTAAATAATTTCTTGTAAGAAGAGGCGCAGAAAAGTTTTTTACAACGAAGTATAGAATTATACGTGAACACGAGTTGCACGCGTGAACAAGAGTAACACGCAGCCTAGAAGACATTAAAAGAATGAACCTTGATAACTTGAAACACTCTTGCATTTTACCGACATTTCGAGCGGGAAAAATTTTATCTTCACAAAAACAGTTATTAATACGAATATAATCAGTTTAACTAAAATCTTACACTCAGTGCCTATGTCAACGCACATTTGATGGAGAATTTGAATCAACATAAGTGAGACGGTCGGAAGAGGGAGCAAGGACAGTAGGCTATAGAACCAACAAGCCCGATTTTGATCTTATCGAACACATGGAAGTTTTTCGTTTACCCAACAGCGTGACATTTTAACAGTAGTGATCGCTGCCATAAATAAGATCCATTTGATGGGAAAGCGCTTTTTAGGAGGCTATCCCACCCACAAGAAAATTGGCAAGTATATTCAAAATGGCATTTTCAGCATCAAAAGTTTTAAAAGGTAATTGAGAGATAATCATAGAAACAGAATTTCCAAGTTTCAAATTGATCGGCATTTGGTGTTCTGAGCTGAGCGAGCAGCTGCAGCACCAAATAGTTTAAATCATGCAAGACTTTCAAGGAATTTAATGCTAAGAATTTTTTAATGAGCTATCATATCCTCGCAAGGCTAATTTCTTGTAATAAAAATTAAAAGCTTCCTTCGCCCAATGGACTTCAACCAACAGTAATTCTATCTACTTGAAATTGGTGAAAGCGGATTTATTTTGAATTATTTATGGATGATTGTGTTCGTTATTAAAGAGCATAATCACAATGCTTGATTCGAGAAAATACACCAATCATAGATTGTTCTTGTTCCTGTTTGTGCTAGTGTATTGTAGTTATTAATATAAATTGATTTTATTAGTGATAGGCATGCGGCACATATGACAAGTGGAGAGCGTCTTAGCGCACACAGAACATGCCGTGTGGCCACATAGGAAGGCCACGCCACGCCGTCGCTCCATGCAGATGCTGCAGCAGTGCGCCTCCTCGATGTCCGCGATCTTGCTCTCCAGGTACCGCAGGCGCTCCGAGGACGGCACGCTTGTTCCGAAGTTCAGCACACAGCCGTCTGCAGAAAATCATGATTACAATTTGTAAGATACAAATAAGGATCGTGCTAAGCTGACTTGAACATTCTATCTTAATTTCGAATAAAAAAAGAACAAAAGGATTCAATTTCATACTTTAACTCAGCCTTCTGTAATCAGATCGCCGGAAATGATTGATGAACTTCATTAAAAAAATTATCGCATTTACAAATGACGATATAGCTTCAAAATTACACCCAGTGACAGACTTTCTACGCCAAAAACAGTGTAAGTGTATCAGCGTTCCTCAAAATATTCTTAACATTTAGCTAATTACGAAAATTGCGTACCATGCCTAACTTTCTTGGCGACCAGTTGGTGGCAGCTGAGGCACTTCTTGACGCGGGCGGCGCATTCCTCGCACGTCACCGAGTGGCCGCACGGCTCAAAGCGCACGCACACTGCCGCCTCCAGGCAGATGGTGCAGGGTTCCCCGCTACTGTCGTTCTGCAAGTGTCCATATTCATGATTTTATGTCTATGTGCGATGTATATTATGTGGAAAAATTATCATGCAAGATTTTTCACTTTGGATTAGAGATGCAAAAACTTCGGTGTCTATTGATTGATTCTGATTGTTATGCAGAATAAAATTGCAATGATAAGCCTCACTACAACCTTAAATTAATTTTAAAATTCTTTGTGGTAATGATATTATGATAAGCATACCATCGCTGCAGCCAATGCCAAGTGGGCTGGACTCGCAGGCTGGGAGGCTGCCGCTCCAAAGCCTCCAGGCTGACTGCCCGTCGTGCTGCTAAACCTAGCGGGGCTAGCAGGCTGGGACGTGCTGCGGTGGGGCGGCACTGGGTGCTGCTGACTCTCGTACGAAGAAGCACCGAACGATGCTGCTCCAAGCTCGCCTCCTCCGATGTTGCAATGAGCATCCATCAGCACAGTCGACCTGTGCAATGAAACATGTTAGCAACATGACACTAACAAGAGCTGAGGAGCGAATATTGAAGGAAACTGACGGCGTAGTGATAAAAGTAGTAAGCAGACTGCTGGACATGGTGCTGGTGAGTCAAATCTCTCTAACGTACGTAGGCAGTTATATTTCTCCCAGAATAATCTTCAAGACAAAAAACATTACTGTGCAAGAGGGAACGAATGCATACTTTCATATTTTTCAACTCAACACAATTTCATTCAAGGGTGTCAGTCATATCGCGGGATCTCAGGTTCTTATAAACTCATTTATCGCACATTCATCACGGCTGAGAAAAGCAGTACTACCAAACTTGCATTTCAATCAAAATATAGGATCAATCTTGCAGAGGTATTAGTAATCCAAAATGACCAATCAGATTAGACAATAATTCAGTTGAACCAACGCTCTATAAATAACATATAAACTTGGACTAATATAGTTCATCTCCGTGTATTTGAGAAGAAAAGATGGCGTCAATGGAAAAAAAGAAAAAGTTGAAATGAGTAGGTATAATGAGGAAACTAGTGCGCTTCATATGAGAAATAGTAAGCATAATAAGGGACTAGCAAGCATTATAATGCAACTAGTAAGAATTATAGGCGAACTAGTAAGCATCGTACGAGAACAAGTGAGCGTCATAATAGAACTGTGCAGTATTTAGAACTAGGTGAGATAAATAAGCTCCCAAGACACTCTGGCCGTTGCCAGGACCTCGCCAGGCCGAACCTGATGCTCTCAGCAGCGAGGTCGAGCGCCTTCATGTCGAGGTCGAGTCTTGTGGTGTCACTGCCACCGCCCGCGCCAGCCACCTCAGGGGAGTGGCACTGCAGCGCCTGCAACACAGTTTATCACTTTCCACACTGTTTCAATTCTGATCTTAATTATATCCCGAACACACATGTGTGAGAACAATATTTATTGTCAGGGAAAAGTGGGGGAAATCGGGTATTGTAGATACTTCATAGTACATAGGCCTAGTGTTTAGAGCTCACTATTAATAATGCATAAATCAGCTCAGCTATGGTGGTGGTATGGAATATTGGCCACGAATACGGGAGCTTAAAAAAAGCATTCCCCGTGCTATTATTCTAGTTAAAACATAACATAATACTTCAACTTCTTCAATTAATACATACACTTAAAAAACCTTCGGGCTTTGATGAATAAAAACCTTAAAAAAATAAAATAGACTAATCAGCTCAATCAAAAAAGTTATGTGCATAAACTCAAAAGAACAGTCTTTTATTCGATGTTTATTGCAACACCCTAAGAGATAAGAGTCCATATGTGTTGCTTCAAGTTATCCTACTATCACAAAATCACGTCAGCCCTGTAGCAAAATCAATGCCAATTAGTACGATAAAAAATCTGGTTGCAGAAATATAACACAATGAAATGGGAGACCAAGAAATCTTGGTAGAAGGTGCAGTGTAAAAACATAAACATAAGTTTACAAAAAGAACAAAAAAGAGAAAGACCTGGACGACGGAAAGGTCGTTGACAGCTTGCAGTGGCGACACGCCTCTTGCGTTTAGGGCCGAGATGCTGGCGCCCTTGCGTACGAGGAGACACGCAACGGCAAGCCAGACTGACGAGCCCGAGGGGAGGGACTGCAGGAGGCCGTTGATGACGGTGGTGTGCACGTCGTCAGGTCGTGGGGGCGCCATGGCGTCAGCTTGGGACAGGTTGTTGAGTTTGTGAAGGGTGAGGTGCAGCGCCGTCTCGCCGTCCTCATCTGCGCGGTTCACGTCCGCGTTGTGGTGAACCACCAACAGCTCTACCAAACTCACGTGTCCCTGAGCATATCAAAAGACTAGCATTGAAGAAAGTTCAGGGAATAGTTACGAAAATTCCAATTCAATATTTCCGTAACAATGCCAGGAACTTTGCAAGACCACAAACAGAACGAAGGTATTGCCCAGTCTGAAGAAGCCATGAAAAAATATGCTGGGCAGAACTTGTAAAAAAGTACGAAAAATAGCAATGATTACATATATTCATATCGATAATTATAACTTGAGAACTATTGTGTCTGCAAAAAAAAAACACTAGCAGACCTGAGCTATGGCCAGCAGCAGCGGCGTCTGGCGCTTGTTGTTGGTGAGGTTGGGGTGAGCGCGTCCCAGAGTGAGCAGCGTCTCTGCCACGTGGCGGTGGCCGTTCAGGCACGCCAGGTGCAGGGCCGCGAAGCCGTCGTCCTTGCGCTCGTCTACGAATTGCCGGCTTCGGTAAACTAGCTTCTCCGTCGCACTACGAGGAGAAAATCACAATCATTCAGTAATAACATCTAAGGCTCCAAAATAAGCATCTACTTTAACGTAGTACGACACATAAGTAAGATAATCGTATTACTTACGTACGACACATAAGTAAGATAATAGTATTGACGCTACATCCGAAATTGTGCTTATCGTGACCCGTGAGAAGAAGCCAGCTCATTGAGCGTAATTACAAAATGCTTATAACAGTCAGAGCAGTAAAGGAGTGTTAATACAAATCCTTTCTTCTATTGGTACGTAGCAAATGAACTAGGCATTTCTTGTACAGGAACGCGTTCATTGCATATAAATTGGCGTGAAACAGGGCTGATAATGTTTCTCCTCAATCATCTATCTCTCGACTAACCTTATCCCTGAGGAAAAAGTTCTAAAAAAAAGAGCTCACAAGTTGTTGCCCTTAAGAGCGGCATGATGGAGGACGTTGAAGCCTCGGTTGTTGCGTAGTGTGAGGTTCAGGCGAGACCAGTTAGTGAGGGCTTCCACGATCTCGAGGCTGTCCTTACCAATGGCGTCGTGCAGAGCTGTGTCGCCGTACGAGTCCTGCAGTCACAGCAATTTAGTCAACACTTTCGTCTCCCAATGCAAGTTACGGCCAATCCACAACTTCATATCCTATTTAATAAATTGTATGTTTAAATTTTATTAAACTTTGGAATAGCATGGTGCAAAAAAAACTAATCGAGCTGATTTTATACGGTTTTAAAGTTTATGCAGAGAAATGCACTGATTCAACTGACCCAAAGATTTAAGTGCTTGTTCTTTAGCGTAAAGTCAATAAAATGTTCTTAAAATTTCGATCAATCAATTCAAATAAATCAATTCAAATTAACAAATTTATTATTAGATTATTTCCAAAACAATAACGTAGAGCTATTAATAACGATTGAAGATGTTAGTAATAAAAAGTGACTAATAAAATTGATGTCAATCTAACAGACCTTCACTCATGGATAACTAGTTCATTAAAATTTAATCATGTGAAATAGAAGCATTTGTCTCTCAGAACATAACAACGTGAAATATTTCAGTTTATAAATATTCTAGCTCATACTAATATTTACAGTTAAACTTATCTTTACAGTGAAGAATAGAATAGTCAGTTACAATGTGGACTTATCAATACATTTAATTATAAACGATTAGAGCCCGAGATATGACCTGAATATTAGCATCAGCCCCGCAACGTAGCAGCAGCAGCACACACGCGTGGTGTTGCTTGTTGACCGCCACATGCAGCGCCGTGCAGCGGCCGCAGTTCAGGGCGTTGATGGCAGAGCCACGGCACAGCAGCAACTCCAGTACCTCCACTTGGTTCCTGGTGGTAACTAACATAGTCAGTATATAACATCCGATTTCACATATTATATAAAAAATATACGTAACTCAGTACTCACTGCAGTGAGTGACAGAGCGCATTTTTCTCGTCGACGAAAATGTGAAATCATGGACAGACGGACAGACATAACGAGCACAATAGTGCATTTTTTCCATCAATGAGAAAATGCGCTAAAAATACGTAGCATATTGTTCAGAAAACTGATACAGTGGAAGTCGGAAGTCGACCAGCTTGGTGCTCAGAACGCAATTTAGGCAAAATAACGACCCTTGCAGACAACGCGATTTTAATGAACAAACGACGGTCTGCTTTGCTCTTCAACTAATTAATAATTGTTGATCTGACGCACAAGATTTTTGTTAACTAGTCTGCATATCTGTTGCTAGTTGGCATTAGTCTGCTGCTCAGTAGGTGTAAGAGCGTTTCCAGAATCAGTTCCCTTCATTTTGCAAATTTTCCGAATTTGAATCACTGTATAGCAATTTACAAGGGAGATTAAGGGTATGTGTTACAAGACAAAAATTGATAAGGAGGTTGACGCAACTCCTGTAATGGATTAATGTGTACGTACTTTCAGGTAACCCAAGGTATTTATTTTGCATAAATTAACGCGTTATTGAAAAAAATGGCGGTAAATATGCGTTTTTGTATAGAAAAACTCAAACAAAAAACGTCTTAGTATATAAAAAAATCTGCACCAAAATATCGGAATGTTTCTATCAGCAGGACATTCGTTAGTTTGTAAAAAACAGTATCATTGATCATGCCAGACGTGGAGAAGGTGTGCAATCATATTGGATGGAACAGACAAATTTTACGAGTTTGTACCATAACCGTTTTTTCCACGTCACGAACAGAAAAACTTGGATTTGTAATCTAGCCCTTGTACTTAATTACCATGATTTGCTTTCCATGATGAAATTATACTAAAAATTATGCAACAGGAACATGAATTTTGCAGCTGCATCTGGTGAACAGAGGTGAATTTTGTAAGATTTATTGCAAATTAGATTTCACTCCTACTGCATATATAGTTGAATCTTGTGAAGTGAACGAACTGGTTAGGGATACCAAACTTGACTAATTTCTCAATTCCATCGCAAATTCACATGTTCTAGCACCAAACTTGTTATTTTAATGACCCGAGCAAAAACTACATCACTCATTGCGATCACGAGCAGCATGAGCTTTGTAAGGAACAGACCCGAAGGAGGCGTAGTGCAGGGACGTGTCGCCGTCCTGGTCCTGAGTGCCAGGCTTGGCTCCTCTATCAAGCAGATGGCGCACCACATGCAGGTGGCCTTGGTGGCACGCCACTTGCAGCGCAGTCTTGCCGTTGCTCCCACACTCGAGCTGTCAAGTGTAACACAATTAGTTTGTTGCAACTCTTGAAATTATTATTGAATGCTATCATTGAACGAAAGTTATCACGTCAACATTGATTATCTTTTCAGAGAGCCGAAGGTCTTCAATATATACATGCCCCCAAAATTTTTTTTAAAACAAGTACTAATTAAAAATGAAAAATTTATAAATCAATTATATATATGTCCTATATCTCTTCGCAATTAAGAAATTATTCTCAGTAATAACAATACTTCAATGAAAGCGATATATATCTCTCATAAGACAACAATTACCAATTCAGGATTGAGTGACAAGATGGCATTGACGTTGGACAAGTGACCCTGAGCAGCTTCCCGAACAAGTTTGTCAACAAGCTTCTTATTAGCAAGAGTTGTGGTCATGGGCTGTGTCACGAAGGTGCTGGTGTTTGCGGCACCCGCTTGAGATGCCGTCATCATGAGGTCGGCGCTATCGTCTGGGAGCGCTGCGGCGCCGTTTGTTTGATGTGACGTGTTACTGATGGGCGTGTCGTCCAAGCTGCTGTGTCGGTGAGTGTCTGCAGCAACGAAAATTTGTGGTAAGAATTGAACCCGGACAACCATGAATAATATGCGATTTTCAAATGTCCCATAAGAAGCGTTTAACTGGGATCCCACATAACAAGTGTCATCCCAGATGATACCAAGCATGGAGTTTATTGGGGAATGGGCATTTTTTTTAGCATAGCAACGCCAGTCTAAAGAGTATAATTATGTTAGTATAAAAAATGAAATCAATGGTAGCCATTGTTAAGACTTGAGGAAGGCCTCACCATGGTGGGAAGCAGGGCCTTGTCTGCCGTGCTGCCGGTCATCGTAATTGACGGTGGCGGTGCTAATGGGCGTCACGCACAACGGACTGAAAGTCCACGTGCTGCCTTCTACGTTGACGCGCAGGTCGCCGTCAGGATAAACTTTTGATACCACCCCAGTCTTGCCCAGAGCCTAGCCAAACACAGGTTATTCGGAAATCAACCAGAAAACTATCAATTAAGCCGGGAGAACATTCAAAACTTGACTTCACTAAGAGTCATTTTTTATTTCAAGACAAGTGCCAAGAAAGAAATCACTTTTCCAGACAATCTAACAAAATCATGGTAATTTTATACAAAAAAGACATGAATTCCTCACTGCTTTCATGTAGTCAATCCACTCTCCATGTCCCTTCTGCAAGACCTTGACCTTCTCCTCCTCAGCGATGACAGTCACACGATCCCCAGGAGTGTAACTGTGCACGACAGGCGCTGGCTGACCGCTCGCGTCAAGGCTGCCTACCCTCATCAGGGCGGTGGGGTGGATTGTCCAGCGGGTACAGCATCCCTCATATTGAACCCTCACATCCCCCTTATCAGTGATTCGGTGCACTAGTCCTATTTGATTAATATAGTCCGCCATTTTGTGGTTCCAGCCTCCATGTCCTTCTTGCATGACTCTAAGTTGCTCTAAAGGTACACACACTTTAACTCTTTCACCAACGAGAAATGGTGCTTGAGAAATAGCACCAGTACCAGTGGAGGAGGATGCAGGTTCTGAAAGGGGTACCACAGGGCTGCGGCCTAACACAGGCAGGTGCTTTATGTATATATAGCCATTGGTTGCAGGCTGTTCACACTTCAAGTCAACCTTGCCTTTATGCCCAAGCCTGTATACGTTGTTGACGCCAGAGGAGCCCCAAACAACACTTGCCACAGATCTACTGCTCTCACCATCCCAACCACGGATTTCAGTTACACGGCCAATCTCCCCTGCACCTCCATCTTGATTTCCCCAGTCCCAGTCAGGCCCACGCATCACCTTGGCTCCCACAAATATTCCTTGCAAAGGAACTTTAGTGCTGTTCTTTCGGGGAGGAACTTCAATCCTGGAAAGAAAAAACACCAGCTAATATAAGGCAACAAATAGGTGTCTGAAAATAAACAGGTGCAGCTGGTAAGTTATAAAATGCCCTACAGCATTTGTGAAAATATTCAATCACTGCTGATATTCAGGTTACATGATAGAGACACCATATGATGCTTACCCAGCACAGTTTGAGTTATCCAATCGTTTAAATGGATGAGATGTGTCGTGCTTATCAGCCATGTAGCATTCAGTGCACAAGTCAAAGTCAAAACAGCGAGTGCAGGACCACTGCAGGCCATGAATACCTTGCTTCTTACAGCCATCACAGATGTGGTTGGCATGTTTCACTCCTGCAAAAATTAAAAATTTGAATCATTCTCTTTCAATTTCATGGAAATCTGTAACATAACAAAACCATATGGTGGTACCATATGGTGAAATCAATAATTTGAGCACAAAAAGTTTTTTATGAGCAATCACAAAGAAAGAGCAATCATGTAAATGCAATCATGGAATGTAAATGATTCTACAAATGAAATTCACAGGTAAAAGAGTGAAACCCTCACAATCTGACTATAACTTACCAATAGGAGCATTATCCAGCAATCGCAGATCGTAGGCGCTCTGGTAACCAACTCTGTAGTTAGTACGAGCCCCAGTGTCCCAGTGAACCACTACAGTTCTGTCAGGAGTTGAGGAGGACCCTGGCCGACCAACTTCAACCACAGTCCCACAAAATCCTTCACCCCCATCCTGGTCGCCCCACTGCCAATCTGGCCCTCTCACAACACGCACCCCAACTTCAGCCATGCATGAGCCAAGAGTTTACTCAAGTAACTATATTTCAATGCAAGGTTGAGTAATCACCTAGGACCTAAAAAATGTGAAAATTTCAATATAGAATAAATTCTCATGCATCACAATACCAATGATATCATCATCAATCGTTGGTAAATATTATACTAATTTTCCCAATCAGTTGCTACTAATATTTACCAAATCAAATAAAAATCTTCTAAGCTTGATGGCATATATATATATAAATAAAATTGAGTATTGCAATCATAAATAGGTACCCGGTATCTACCTATATGGTTTTGTATTTAAGGAAAGCCTGTTTTGTGGACTTAAGGATTAATTAAATTCTTTCAACTGAAAATAAGTGGAAAATCAGCTGCATTCAACTATACCAACAATTTGTTTCAAATTTTCTCATTAGACAAGAAATGCTCAATACTGCCTAGAGCATTTGTAGTACCTCTACCCTGTAACTTCTCATCTAAAACAATTAGCAGAAATTCTCCAAATTTCAAAAATTGAGTTGATCTGTTTCAAGAAAAACAGCTATGGATATAATAGCATCAATAGATTTCATGAGAGAGCTTCATAATGCTGGAAATAGCTATAGATACAAGAGAATTATTATGATCTCATGAGAGGGGGCTTGATAAAGCTGATAATAGCCATAGATATAACATCATCGCTAGAGTCTCATGACAGGGCTTCTTAAAGCAGACATAGACATGGATACCATCAAATGGGGTAATAAGAGACAATTCTTAGCATTTTTTGTCAATTACTTCTTACCATGAAATATTTCATAAACAAGTTTGTGCTCATTTTAAAGGTTTTTGCAAGGGCTATTGAATGGCATCTCTGAAAAATTCCATATGCTATTCAAAAGGTGCCAGACATAAAAGAAAAGCATCCTGAAATACCCATGGGCATGTTGTAATTCAGTACACTTGAAATAAAACTTAATTTTAAATGTTTGCAGCATGCAGAATATACTCTTCCATTGCAGACAGCACTCTAAAGTCCTCCTATTCCTAAGTAGGTAGATGATGTAGATATAGAATAAATTATATTTTCTGTGATTTGTATATGTTTTTCTTTTATTGATATATTACCATATCCATACATTACTGTATTGTTGATGTGATATTACTGTACACATGGACATACCATTGAGCATTTACAATGACCTTGTCCACTGCAACTTAGCAGAAGTAAGTACCTACTTTTTTCAAAATATCACTTTTCAACATTATTCAGAGAACTTTTAGAGCTAGGGTAAACGAGGTATATGCCAACATCATGAGTAATTCTGACACTTCTCAACTTTTTTCCTTTATATGAAGCTTAGTTTCACGCATCAGTTGATGGTTGAAAACAAAATAGTGATGTCATACTATTGCGCGCCATACTCAGCGGCCATACTATTGCCAAAACACTAGGTCAGGGCCATCTGGCGGGAAAATGTTAAGATCCAGAGAGAGACAGTGCACGTCACCCAGTGAGAACATTGAAAAACATGTCAAAAACTTGGATAGTTGACCTTGCTCTACCAAATAGCGATAAACTGTTTGTGTAGAAAGAATATTATGGTTTGAGACTTTTAAATAAGTCTGTGAATATATTAGGAATTATTCAAGTATACTTGCATTTGCTGATTTCAAGTGGTAAATAAATTAAAAGATGATTAAGTTAAGCGACGGTTTTAGACACATAAAAACGAATTCCGACACAGCTTGGAGACACACACAGCTTGTTCCGAGGCTCGGAGCTGTGTCCAAAAATTAAAATTTTCTTAATTAAAAGCTTAATAGCTCCTAATTAAAATCTTAATTTAAAAATTAAAATTTTTAAATTAAGCTCGTTCTGAGCTGTGTCATATTCCGATACAGCTGTGTTGGAATTCCAACATAGGGCGCCGGAATAACAAATTAATAGAGTTTGAAGCGCTGTCAGAATTAGTCTCACAATATGCCAAATTTAGTCACACACAGCGTCAGAATTCAGGGATTTGTAGGTTTGAATTCTAAAGGCTTTTAAATAAATATGGCAACAGTTTGTGACGTTTCATTGTTGCTGGCGCGTTGTGTGGTGTTTTGAGAGTGCCATAAACCAATCAGAACTCAAGTTGCACATACAGTGATCTATTTATAGCCATTCATTTCTTGCTACATCCTCAATGTGTTCATTGTGTTGGAATATACCAAGTTTACCCTAGTAAATACATGATTTCTTAACCTTTTATACTACATAGATAGAAAAAAGTTGAACAGTTGAAACTTGAAGGTCATGTAACTGTTTATAGTTTAGCAGCTGCTAGGTATAACATTTTCAAGCTATAAAAGAGGTCAGAGGACTGTTCCATCCAATTTTGGTGCCGCACCGATGACCAATCCATAATTAGTACCCTGTGACTGTGAGCCCGATTGACAGCAGTGGCAATTGGCAAACCAGAGATTTTTTAGAATTTGTTCATTTTTAATTTCCTCATTTACTCAAGATTTTAACCAATTTCTTAGGTATGATAATGCTGGTAGCTATCCATGATAATTTACTGGTGTCTGGTCCACTTATAAGTAGGACTCAAAAACAAACTTGAGGGAGAGTCTAAAAAACTCTCTGCTTTGCCACTATGCAACTCACAGCATTGCTGTTTTTCAATTCCTTTAGCAAAAAATATGAATTAGTTTATTTTCACCATCATTTTTTGAGAATTATTGATGAAACAATCATTTTTACCTGCAATTTTGCCCAATAATCCATATTAGAAGTAACACAAAGCTAGGTACAAAAGACAGTTATGGCTAGAAAAGTAGATCTTTTGCTTTTCCACATTATCCCATGACATTCAGCTGGCTCACAGTCACAGTCACAGCATTGCTGAAACGGTAAAACCCGAAATGCTGTTGACTTTTTTCAATAATAATAGCTGCAAAATATATCTATTTCTTTAACTCTGACTAGAGCTTTCTTCAAAGTTTTGAAGCTGCAACAATGAACAATGCGACATTCTCAGCATTTTACACTAGACATCACACTACCTAAATTGATAAATAGGTAGGCTAATCTCTCATGACTCATCTATTATTAAGAGAAGAGTTAACTTCAATCAAGAGTCCATGATCAAGCCATGAGAATGAGATTCCACCGTCCACGTGTATTAAAAATATGTCACTTTGAATTTTTGAAGCAAAAAGATTTGATTAGCAAGTAGGAATTTTCCAATACCAATTTGATTTACCTATGTTTGACAGTTTGATCACTGAACGAAAAATAATTTATTGTACCTAACATAGACCATATTCTTTCAGCCACTTAAAAAATAATTAATTAATGATTCTTGAACAAATATTATAGCTAATATCATGGGTAAGCCTGTCAGGTAAGATTTTACAGCAAGATCACAATAAGTTGGAAATTATTAAGGTCATTCTAATCAACCGTGCTACACTTCTATCAATACAAGTTCCGTGAAATCCAGGGTCAAACTAATGATGGCTTGAGAGACATTTGTCACTATTGTGAGCATTCTGACGTGCTAAAGATGTACTAACGAAACAGTGACCAGCATTGCCTTACTTCTCAAGGACGCTAGATCCTTTCCTTCAGTAACGAAGTTTTTAATTATTCTATTTCATCATGTTGGTAGCCGTAGCCTGAAAATAACGAACACATTCACTGAATAAGATCAAACAGCTGTCTGTAAAAAGGCCAGTAATTGTACGTTCCAGTATTGTCTGCCAACACAAGAAATGATATCATCTCAATCATAAAGAGCATTTCAATGTTCCTTCTCCACACCCCACGGTATTCATTCCCTCTATTGAAGTACCTAGCCTCCGATCGAACGGTGAACTGTCTGAAAGAGAGCGCAGTTGTGAAGTGCCATTTCTGACACCAATAGACACTGAATGGGACGTGTAAATTCTTTTACATAGCCACCAATAAGCCGCGAAATGAGCCTGCTGTCACTATCTGGTCACGACAATATTATCTTCAAAATATGAACAGTCATATGACATTAATTATGGGAACGAATAGCCATGGACGTAATGACATTTCTTTTTGTACCAACCTATATAGTATAAAAGTACAGTCATGGTTTATACAAGGTCCCCGAAGGATTACTAGAATTTGAAACATGAACCAACACCAGGGGCCACGGCTATAAACTAAAAAACTGCGTGGCAACTTATCCACGCGACAACATTTCTTCTCGCTTCGAATCACCGACGAACAGGGCAGGGTGGCCCAGTGGTTGAAGTTCAGAGTACCAAGATTGGCGCAGAGAGGCGCGCGTTCGATCCCAGCTCTGTGCGCCAGTTTCTGGTCAGAATCGGCAAGAAGGCCAGGCAGTTAAGCACAGCAGAATTGTAGCAGTGTGTTGCGAGTTCAAGCCCGCAAAATGCTGCGACTGTTCTGCGATGTTCAGAATCGGCGACAGGCCTACGGCCTAATTAACGCTGAAACCGCTATTATTAGTATTGTTATTATTATTATGTGGAACAGCCTTCGTGATTACATCGTTGGCGCTCCGAGTATATAAACGCGTTCAAGAACAGACTAGAAAAAGCTATGGAACAATATATGTTTAAACTTGAAATGCCTAGCACCATATCGAACCCGGTGGAAAACTCGTAGCTATTTCAAACTATCGTCAGTCTTGAAAAGATCCGGTCAAATGACACGATTTTAGATCTTCAGTGAAAAAGTCACGAAAAGTGCAAGAATCGGCGACAGGCCACATCAGGCCTACTCTTCAGCACCGACATCACTATATGTTATGTTATGTTATGTTATGTTATGTTATGTGACAAATTAGTGATCAGATTACACTATTATTACATATTTACGATAGAATCGTAGAAGTTATAAGAATATACCATACCTTTCGTGGGAAAGTTAACATATGATATATGGTCACAATCACAATTAGGTCTCCTCTGAAAAATATACACCACGGCCCCCAGTTTGCGTATGAGGCTACGTTCAGGGCAGGGTGACTTAGAAGTTAAAGTTCAGAGTACCAAGATTGCAGCAGAGAGGTGCGGGTTCGATCCCAGCTCTTTTCGATTCAGA